TGCTGGGGGATTGAACCGCGGTCCCTGATGCTTTTGCTAAGCTTGTTCTAAGTAGGTGCTTTAGACCACTGAGCCATCTCTCCAGCCCGAAAATTCTCTTTTAACATTAAAAATTTCAGTCATTTTCAAGTGGCTTATACAATATATAGATTTTTAGAAGAGGATTGATGGTGTAAGATATTATATATTAGTGGACCCAAGTGGTGAGACTGCTAACATATAATTGCAGACGTGTAAGACTCCTGAAAAATTAATTTATTGAGTATATTTCTTTCTTTATAGTAGGTCTCAGCCCTGGCTATACATTAATTTTATGTAGGAATCTGAAACAAATTGAGTGGTGTGCCAGTAAACTGGATCCCTGGGTGGACAAAAGCCCTCAATGTAGTATTTGAGGCTTTCCATAGGACAAGTGCTCCTAGCAGGGTTGATTTCAAGTTAGCAACATGGCATTATTAAATGTGGAGCTGGGGAAAGAAGGGCACAAATTGGCCCTCTGTCACCAGTTCACATATGCTGTGCTCGTCAGGCGCCCATCCTAGGCCAACTGAAAGAGACGTGGTGTGAAGCTGTGCCGAAGCTCTGAATTTATTTGTTTTCCCATAATTTTATTGAGAAACAAATAACAATGAGACAGTTTCAAACCAAATTGGTAGGATAGTTTCAATAATTAACACATTGCATATTCTCTTCCTAGTGGTTATTTGCTGTACAAGATGCAGACATGATATCCTATTTACAAACATTCATTAAGAGAATGTAACTATATATCTATCCTAACCATTTTGAATACACAGATACAAAATGAACATTCATCTGTATCCCCTCGAAGCTCTGAATTTAACAAGACAACCTGTGTCAGTGGAGTACTGGGCTTCTTGGAGCATAGCTCTTCATGGTGAAGACTGGAAAGCAGAAAACACTGTAGAAAATGAACTACACTTAGAAAAGGGAAATCTTCCTACTGCCTTTACTTCTGTCCACATGGATAGACAGTGAAGAGTGGAATGGTGGAATCATATTTGGAGTTAGACTTTCTGGGCAGTAACTTTCAACTAACAGAGTTTATATGAATGTTCTCTAATTTGAATGTTCTTCTGTGACTTCCACTCCATAGTTTCCTCTTCTACTCAGTGGCCAAGTCCTCTATGTACTGGCTCTACAATCTCAGCACTGTGGGTCTTTTTTTTATGTATTTAAAGGTTTTAAAATCTCAGAATCTTTTTTTTTTAAAGTAACAGTCTTGTCATGATGCCACATGACCAGCATTCTGCAGAGCCATCCTCCTCCCCACTTTCAGCTTTTACTCTGGATGCTGCTAGGCAGGTGGGTTGATGGGAGCTGTGTTTAGGTATTTTGTGGAAATATGTAATTTTTGGGAATGCATTTTGAAGGCTATTCATTCCATTTACTTGGTATGAAAGAAAGTTGACAAATAAAGTAAATTGGCCTGCTACTTAGGTAGCAAAGTTCACGGGCTTATAACTGAGAGGCAAGTTTGTGATCTGGGGAAGAACTCTGATGGAAAAGTGACATGGAGGGCCAGAGTCTTAAGGGCAATTAACTTGTTCATTTATTTCCTTTTCACTTACCGATAACATCTCTACTACACCTGTTCTATCAGTTGTGCTGTTAGACTGAGTATGTGCTAGATAAACGATCCTGCTGTCCTCTGATAAACTTCTATAGGGTTTACCATGGGTGCTCTGAGACCACAGAGGACAAGCTCTATGCTTAGCCCTAAGAAGATAATGCTGGTTTCTGGGAGCATGATAAGTTCAGATGGATGCATCCTTTTTCTATCTCCTTCACTTAATGGATGTTCTTTTTTTCATGAAGCAATTTGCCATGCATTTCTGTTTTAGGGTCAGTGGGTGCCATCTGCATCTTGGTTGCTTCTTCCTTTGCCTGCCTTTCCCATTCATTTTCCACTCCTATTGCGCTGTTTCTCTACTCACGACCATCTAGACCTCACTCTCTCGAGCCCAGAAACAGCTCATGTTTTTCATTGCTAAAACATGAGCTGTAGCCTCAGCTCTCAGTTACCCATCGCTCATGCCCAGTCTGCATCTGGTTTGTTTCCCAGGCCCTTTCTTCTGTGACTTCCACTCCATAGTTTCCTCTCCTACTCAGTGGCCAAGTCCTCTATGTACTGGCTCTACAATCTCAGCACTGTGGGTCTTTTTTTTGTGGTACCAAGGATCAAACTCAGGACCTTGTGAGCACTTATTCCACTGAGTTATCTCCGCAGGTCTTCTTGCATTGTACTTCTAAACCAGTATTGTTGGGTCACTCTAATACAACCACAATCCCCTTATTCCTCTGTTCTAAGACTGAGTAGTCTCCCTGTTGGATAAAGAATATTTTCAGACACATCAAACTTGCATCAAGCCTTTCGACAGTCAAGCCTTCATCTGCCATTTTTACTTTCTAGCCTAATTCAGTATTCCCTGGTCTATCATAATTTCGACCCCTGAGCCACTGTTTCTTGCTTGTTGTCCCCTGCCCTTATTCTTACTGATCTTTTAGTTGAGAATTTCCTCTTAAGTCTTTTGTTCAAATCACTAGCCCATTAAAACTTGCCTGAAATGCTACCTCTTGAAATAATAGTGATGACAATGATAACAATGACAAAATAGATAATATTTCTAAGGTTCTTACCATCTCAGAAACTACAGTTTTGCATAATTTTTTCATGAAGTAATCAATTCTATCCTTTCCTTAGTTCTTATGAGATAGGCACCATTACTGTCACATAATTCAGATGAGGAAATGAAGTACAGGGAGGTTAAATGATTGTCCGTAGTTTTCATAGCCAGCAAATTCAGAATTTGTTGTTCTCCCCATGGCTGTCCATTCCAACAGCACATTTGTAACAGTTTTGCACTTTTAATGTACAATTGCTGACTTTTCCTAAGTTCTTACTGTGATGTCTTAAAGCATACAAACCATTTTCTTTTTAAAGATTTTCCCTTTTTATTAATATATGTTTGTGATACATAATAAATACATTCATCATGGGGAATCAGTGGTATGTGTATGCTGCATCTTTAGATAATATTGTTCATTTTAAACATGATGGCAATCATTTGAGATAGGTAAGTATTGAATGAAACGTCGAGCACTCAGTCACATACAAGGCCACTGGGCAATGAAAGGTAGAACTAGGATTCAGACTTCGGTGATTCTGACTGCCAAGCCCACAGTTACACAGCTACTGGCCTCGATGTCTCTAATACATTCTCGACCTTTGAATTCCAGCCAGTATATTGTGCTTGCTATGAATTTCCCTTTTCATAAGCAGCCCAAGCTACCATACTACAAATAGGTCAGTAGTATGACTCTTCACTTTGCCCATTGCTTTAACATGTGTTTATTAAATTCAGTGATGAGCTGGAAAGGAGAACAGCAAGAGTGGAGGACCCCAACACGTAAGCCTGAGGAGGGTGCCCGCTTGTAAGATGCTGAGTGAAACTGGAAAGGAGGAGCCTCAAGGTTCTCAGGTCATAGATTCCCAGGCAATATAATACCTTCTGAAGCGAGTATCAGTTGGTGCAGTATGTACTGTGATATTAGGGCTTCGGCAAATATTTTCAAGGCAGCTCTCTTAGGTGTTTTCTTTTCTTTTGTGCCCTTTAGGTTTTTATTCCAACTTTTTTTTTAAAAAAATAGAACATTTGCTACTTTTACTTTGGATATAAATACTTAAACATACAGAATGCATTCTCCCAAGTTGCCCATCTCCCTGCATTTAGTCTTGCTTTACTTTTAAGATCTGCAATCCAGATTTTAATGAGAAAGCTGTTTTTAAGGACAGTTGGTATCTCTCAAAACTGCTATATCTCTTGAATGATTGTGGAAGAAGAACCTGAAGCTGGGCAGTGGTGCTGTTCAAGCAAAATAAAAATATCATTATTCATTTGCCTGGTTAGAAAAAAGAGCCTCTTTCAAAACCTTTCCCTGCCACCCCTCCACAACTGAAAAGAGTAGTAACAAAAGCTAAGGGGTCAACTATTAGAAAACATTTCTGATGAAGGGTGATGCATTTGACATTTCTGTTAAATTATAGACTTATAGATGCAAGTACTTATAGATGCAAGTTTGTAAAATATCTATTTTAAGGTTCTTGAAAAAAATGTTGAATTACATTGAATTTCAGGTAAGTAATGAATAATTTTTTGGTATGAGTATTTCCTATATATATATATATATATATATATATATACATACATACACATATATAGATATATAGATATATAGATATGTGGTACTGAAACATTTCTTGTTTATTTGAAATTCAAATTTAAATGAATTTGCTATATTTTTGTTGAATCTGGCCATCAA